ATCTCGTAAGTTCAGCATCTGGGCTTTCCTAAGGACAGTTTCTGTTGCTTCCTTCCCCACCACCACATGGGCCATGCTTTCCTTTTCCTTTGCATGTTTTATAACTTTCTGTTGTAAACTGGACAGTTTTAATAATGTGGCAACTTTGGAAATCATATTCCCTCCTCATAGTTGGTTGTTGTTTTTGTTTGCACAGAACTTCCTGAACTAATTCTGTAAAGTTTTTGTTCTTTTTCATGGATGGCCACTGTTGTCTCTGCTTAGTTAGCTTAGTGATCGATCATCTAAGGATTAGACAGACATCTCTTTAAAGCCTGGAACCAAGAGGCTTCAACCTTTGAAAGGGGCTCTGTGTGTGCTGGATTATACCTTCAACACTCAGCCAAGTCGTTTAAACTCTCTTAGCTTTTCTTTTCTCCTTCTGTAGAGCCTCAAGATAGCCAACGGTGACAGCTTAAGAGCTTTTCAGGTCTTTCCTGAATATGCACATACCACTGGGCACAAGCATATATCCCTACCCAAGTTCATGGCCTTCTAGATTCCAGGACTGTGTGGAAGCTTTTGCTCATTTTCTATCCACCCTCTGGGGTGATACTGGGGAAAAGACCTATCTATCATGCTAGTTCAGCATTTTGGGGCTGGTCATGATTCTAAACCAAAGATGCTATTAGCAGAGACTCTACCTTGTAATCAGTTCAGTTAATAATATATGACAAATAGCCTTAATCTATCCCATGTTCATTCCCACATCATTTGTTTTGGCTATATCAGAAAGCTAGCACAATCAATCACCTAGAAAGCTTTTATGACCTCAAGTATGGGGCTCTGCACACAAATTTTCAGAGTGGTCTACAAGATGCCACTACACATCCATTAGGACAGCTACAATTAAAAAGATTGGAGATTCTAAATACAGGAGATTCTAAATTGAGGATGTGGAGCTACTGGAATTTCATAGACTAATGGTGGGAATATAATATGGGAAAGTTCCATGATTTTTTATAATGCTGAATATGTAATTATCATACAGTCCAGCAGTTCCACTCCTGGTATTTACCCAAGAGAAATAACATTTGTTTCCAAAAGGACTTGTTTTAAATGTTCACAATAATTTTATTCGTAATAGCCAAAAATCAAATAACCCAAGAGTCCAATAACCAAAGGTTCCAATAATCAAATAACCCAAATCTCTCAGCACAAAGATAAACAAATGGTGACATGTCCATACAATGGGATGCGCTATGCAGCAGTAAAATGAACAGCTACTGATACAATATGAATATTCAAAAACATGTTGAACAGAAGCCAGGCACAAAAGGCAACATATTCTGTGATTCTGTTCATATGACATTCCAAAAAAGGCAAAACTATAGTGACAGAAAGCAAGTCAGTGGTTGCCTGGGCCCATACGAAGGGGGACACAAATAACTTTGGGGAGTGATGGCAGTGGCATGTTTGTCATTGTGGAGATTTCACAGGTATATACACTTGCCAAATCACATGGAACTTATACACATTAAATGTGTAGTTTATTGTATGTAAACTACAACTCAATAGGTTTTTTTCTTAAGACATGGTTAAAAAATAAAGACATCCTTGCTCCTGACTCTGAACAAGTCTCACCCCCACTCAGACACTTGCAGGTCCAGATGTAGGGAGTGAAAGCACTTGAGGTGCTTGAAAGGGACAGTGTAGCCATATAGGCCAGGTTTAAGTCAAAAGTATGTATTTTTGAGTGAAGTCTCTTATTTTAAAACATTAGCACCAGATTCAAAACTTCTTAAAATGCCAGATGAGCCAAACAAAATCAATCTTCAGACTGTTCTGTGGCTCACAGGCAGTCAGCTTGTGATCTGTGTCCTAAAATCTGTCCTGGCTCAGGCTACAGAGCCGTAAGGTGGAACCACACAGAGTGGCTTGTCCTTGGAGTGGCTGTGGAATGTTGTTCTTGCCCCTCCTTGAATGAGGTGATAGCAACTAGTCTTGATGGTGTAGGGCTGGGCCCAGCCAGTGGAAGCTTTTTAACAGAAACTAATTCTCTAAAGCTTAACAGAAACTAATTCTGTGGGAATACACATTATACCGTCCCCTCCAATTCTGCTGTTTCTCAGGGGTCCTACTGCACCCCTGGGGGAACCTGACCTGGATTACAGTCACATTAGCACCTACAAGGGCAAGGATAGCCCACAGGGACCTCAGGAGGACCCCATTTACTCCCAAGCACTCTGCGCCCTGAGGGGTTCGGGCCTGTGCTCAGGACTGCCCTCAGTACGTGCACAGCAGTTCTGCTGCCCTCAAAATCCCGCGATACATGGCCTGTTTTGCTAGGTGTCTGACATGCCCTTTGTTCCCTGGCTCAGTTTGGGGGCAGCCCTGTGTCCTGTGCTGTGGGGCTGGCCGTCCTGGATGTCTTGGAGAAGGAGCGGCTGCAGGCTCACGCTGCCTCTGTGGGCAGCTACCTGATGGAGCTTCTCAGGCAGCAAAAAGCCAAACATCCCATCATTGGGGACGTCAGGTGAGGCTTAGGGCAGCAGTCAATACCCACTAACCAAGCACCTGCCAGAGTCCTGGCGAGGTTTTTTTCTTTCACCTGGTGACCACCTGGGACTGGGGGCATTTTCCTCTCCACAGAGGAGCTGAAGTACTGAGTGGGTAGCTGGTGCCCAAGATGGCGCTTCTAGGGAGGGGAAAGCCAGGAGCAATCTGAGCTCTGACCCCATCTCCCCTCTGTCCACACCAAGGGCCCTTTTACCCATTGTAGTTACTTCCTGGAACTCTCTCACCACCCTGACAGTTCCCATTGCTCTCGGCCTCCCCACGAGGCAAAGGTACAAGCCCTGGTGGACTTTCTGACAGGGGCTTGGCTGTAGCCCAGGCAAAGGCTGAGAACCAGGACCGTGGTCCCTCAGGATGCTTAAGATGTCACCTTCTCCTCCAGGGGCACTGGGCTCTTCATTGGTGTGGATCTGATCAAAGATGAGGCCACAAGGACACCAGCAACCAAAGAGGCTGATTACTTGGTGTCCAGGTATTTTTTTTTCTTTAGACAGGTTGAGTTTGCAGTCTAGGGCCCTAACTAGGGAGGAGCCTCCCCCTTTTGCCTCTCCACTCGGGCACTCTGGGCCCACAGAGGGTGGACTGAAGGACATAGCACCTGGGCCTCTGACACAGGAAGGGGACCACCAATCTGTGCAGCCCCTCAGCTAGGTCCCATGCAGAGTCCTGTCAGCACTGTGCCCAGTGCCCGGCAAGAGGCTTCAGATGGGCACAGGCCATTCCCTGCCCAGGTGGCTACTTCTGCCCTGCATGGCACACTGCAGGAGCTCTGACACCCAGGCTGCCCAAAGGAAGCAGCTCTCCGCAGCCCACCAGGGACTGCAGCAGGACCAGACGAGGGCAACCCAGTCCGCAGGCACCAGGCTTGGGGGATGGACGGGACTCCTGCTCCTTGCCAGCCCTGCCTACTGACAGCATCTGGGACTCAGCAGCCCCACCCCAGCCCCAGGTTGCGTTCTTTCACTTCATGCCAGGCAGGCCCTGAGACTCAGGACCCTTCCCCTTACTTCCTATTTATCTCCATTCTGCACTCCTATCCCCTTACCCCGCCCCCTTAGGAGACATTCATGCCCCATGTATATGCATCCTTAAGACTCAACTGAAACATGCTGTGTCCCAATTCACACAATCTGTAAAAATCTTCCCTCTGAAGATTCTTGAAACTAACCCATCCTAAGTGACGATTCCGTCCCTGCCCCCTCTGCCAGGTGGACATGCCACCAGTGGGATGGCCCTGCAGCTAGCCTGACTTCCTCCACCCCACAACCACCTGGTTTCTCCAATCCACTAAGGAAAACTGGAAGTTCCACCTGCAGTCACCCTGCTAGTAGGCAGCAGAGCTGGGTTTGAGTCCAGACCATGTTCTTTCCACCACAGCTGTAGTCAGTGCAGGTAGAGGGGGATGGGAGTGAGGTGCCAGAAGGCAGACCGAGTTCCCAAAGACCCCCACTCCAGGCAAATTTAATGGGAGCAGGGGTCAGAGTGTAAATCACATCAGACCCCTTTCTCTCAGTGGCCTAATATACCTTCCTGGGTTTAACGTATAAATGTGGAAAACTAATGATTCTTAGGTACTTATGTAAGGAGGGTAAGATCATCTCCCTGAGAACCAGAAATTAAGTGAATAGTCCCATCTGGGAATGCCAGATGACTGTGGGCAGGGAGCAGGAAGGGGGTTGGCAGGGGAGTTACTGGAGCTGGGTGAAGGGTACATGGGGCTCACTACCTGACTGTTATGTGGGGCATTTTCCATGAAGTATACTATACACATCACATAGCCACAGGAGATGGAAAATGCAGGAACTCTCACCCCTCCATGGCAATCCTGGCTTCGCTTAGGCTGGGGCTGCAGGGGTGGCTGAGGGAAAATCCCTGCTTTGGGGAGCAGCAGGCTCATGGCCTGATCACAAAAGCCCCAGTCACAAGGCCAAGGCCAGGCTGAGGAAGGCCTTTAAGACCATGTGAAGGGCTCCTGGCTGCTTTATCCTGTCTTTACAGGCTGAAGGAGAACCACATTTTGCTGAGCCCTGATGGCCCTGGGAGAAACGTCCTCAAGTTTAAGCCCCCAATGTGCTTCAGCTTGGACAACGCACAACATGTGGTGGCAAAGATGGATGCCATCCTGACAGGTAAGCCTGCAGCCCAAGGGGCAGCTGACCATGTCTCTAAAACCAGCCAGTAGCATGCCCAGGGAGGGGACACAACAGCCAAGCCAGGTTATCTTCTGGACAGTGCAGGGAGCAAAGAATTGAGGTGGAGGGAATCCTTCAGGCCCAGGCCTCCCCCTCCCTAGTCCTGCCTGCAGCCTCCCCATCCTCCTGCCCAGGAGGTACCAGTATCGGATACAGCACAAGGGAAACAGGGCTTAGACTGAGGCCAGCCAGCATTACTACAGTGGGAGACCACATTATGCATCCTTAGAGCCACTATGAGGTGTTCAGTGGTAGATCTGTACTTTTTATTCAGGCTAAGATCAGTCAGCTGCTGTGTGGCTGAAGAGATCTGCACCCAGGACTCAAATACAAAGTAAAGTTCCCCTCCACAGAAGCTCCTAGCTTCCAAAGACAGCCCAGGGTCTCTCCCAGTCCCACTAAGAAACTACCTCCCAGACTGGACCATCTATAGAGGCTATGCTACATATATAAGCTCGTAGGAGCCCAAACAGGTCCAGTCCCATCTGGGGAGCCCAGCATGCAGCACCCACCTATGCCCCAGGGTTTTAGGCACCAAGACCCATCCCTAAGACAACTGGTAGGGGTGTGGGAAGTGCATTTGTGGGCAGCCCAGGGGGGCACAAGCAGACCGTGCTGGCCTTGGTTTCCTGCACCAAGGGAGGAGTGTCAGTTGAGTCTGGAAGTCTTGGGAAATCTGAGGGCTAACTGTGCCCTTTGGGGAAATTGCTATGATCCTATGGCTGGTGGTAAAGGGTAGAACATAGGTTGGTGAGCCCAACCTCCACACTGCCATCCAAGAAGCTTGACACTGGTGGTAGCAGGGGTCGTCAGGAGATTAAGGCCAATTAACAGGTTGGGTGGCTCTCTTCAGACATGGAAGCAAACATGCGAAGTTGTGCCACACTGCAGCCCCAGCTCCGAGGCAGCGCTGCTGGGGTCACGTCCTCCAGGTGAGTGGGCCTTGCTTCTCCTGCGCAGTGGCGGTTCCTTCACTCAGCAGCCAAACCTTTTCTGATGAACAGTTCACTGATGTTGCCTTCCCACAGGTTCCAGGGCTTGGGCTTTCCCCTCACCTTCTCCACCCCACCACCACATAGTGGAATCCTTAGTTTGCATTTGACAGCCGGAACAGCCTTCCTCCCCAGACCAGTTCCTTTCATGGGTGAGGGCAACTCCCTTTGCCAGGCTGTGTCCACCTGGAGCCCCAGCACGCTGCCTCTTGCAACCAGATAGTCTTAGGCCTCAATACCCAGACTTAGGGTGGCACATGTAGCCTATCATGTGCCAACATCCAACTGGCCGTGGGCCACTGCCCCATCTACAGGGTTCACTGTCTTTGAATGAGACGTTGAGGCCCATTTCTATAGGCAGGTCAGGACAATGAGGTGTTGGTGACCCAGATTGACTCTGGAAGAAGCAACAGCCCTGCTGGGGGGTGGCAACCCTCACTGCACCATCTTCACCCCCTAGACAGCTAAATAACTGCCTCAAACCTCCCAGACATTCCCTTTAAAGGGGCTTAAGTCCTGGGCAGGGCTGCATTATTACAGAAAATCAAGGATTTGGAAAGCACGTAGCTATGGGTCAAAGACGACACTGGAACCCAGAAAGCTCATGACACTTGCCCCTCCCCACCTTTCCATAGCATATCCCTCACTCACCCAGGCTTTGGGGGTTTTTTAATTTTTATTTCAAAAGCTTGGATCGCTTCAATATCCAGGTCGTGGCAAAATCAGGACACGTGTAAAATACCTTACAATACATTAGATTCCCAAAAGGTACCAAAAAGTACAGTAAAATTAACACTTCCAATACAGGAAATGTATGACACAAATAATATAAAATTAAAAGGTGAAAAAAAGGTGACACTGGTTTCCTAAGATAGTTCATACTCTTTACAACCAGGGTCCACAGGTCCAGGCTGCAGAGCAGCAGCAGGAAAGCAGACCCCCCCCACCCAAATCTGGTTCTGAGTAACCCAGTAATAAAATCAGTTCATAATGCCGCTCTGGCCTCTGAGACACCACACGCTGCCTAAAAAACAACTAGAGCTCTGGGAATAGTAAACAGGAGAGTGATTTCCAGGAGGGTGGGGGGATTTTTAAATAAGATGCACATGGGACAGGCCATAGAAAGTATGCCAAGTTAAATTTGGTACATAATTGTGTTCACTTGATATCCAAACAAAGCGTGTGCGATCAGTCGGACTCTCCTGCTGAAGCCTCAGTATGGCTTGTAGTTATTCTGATGGCCACCACGTCGCTGGCTCTTCCCGTAATTTGTACTACCCTGACCTAGGGACAAGAACAACAATGATAGCAGCTACCACTCACTGAGCAGTCATCCCTGTGCCAGGCGCTTGATATGAATCCTCACCAAAGCCAACAACCCTGTCAGGTAGGGATACCTACCCCACCTTCCTGAGACCCATAACCTCAAGAGCTCAGCCAGGTAGCTCCAGGGGCTGAGGCAGGCCATGAACCCAGCCTGTCCGACTCCAAAGCTGCCGCTGCCAGTAGCCCCTGCACTGTCTGTCCTGCCTCCCAGGGAGGGTGAGCAGACTGGGGCCTCCCTCTCCTACTTACTGTAGTCGTAGCCGGGGCCGTAGCCGTAATAGCCATAGGGCGAGTAGTCGTAGCCGCCATAGCCGGGCCCGTAGCCCTGCTGGTAGCCGTAGCCCTGGTTCCAGTAGTTGCCGTAGCCCTGATTCCAACTCTGACTCTGACCTGTGGGGGGAGCAGGGCACAGCGGCCCATGGACCATTTAGCGCACACAGGAGCTAGGATGGAGGAAATCCTGCCCTTTGGGTGGCGGGGTTACTATGGCAACTCAGGTAGAAGCCAAGGGGCTGCACTCCTGGTTTAGGGGGCACTGGGCCCAGCCCTTCACCAGAGAGCCAAGCTGGAGGCTTTTTTAAAAGTCCAGGCTAGGCCAGAACACTAACTTCACTAGGGGCAAAGCAGCAGGAGTTCATCTCTCTCAAATCCCCCTCTGATCACCCCCACCCCTCCCTGGCAGCTTGCCCTTTAAAAGGATGGAGCTCAGGCTTTGGAGTCAGAGGGGCCTGGGACTAAAGGAGGTTAAGCGCCTGGCACAGCCCTGCCCTACCACCTTCCACCCACCCACCCACCAGTTCGCTAAGTCAGGATAGCCAGAGCCTAGTGCACCCTACCCCACAGTGTGTCAAGTGAATGGCCCCTGCCCTGCGGCCCCAGGCAGCCAGGAGAAAGCTGACCCTTGCACACTAGGCAGGGCTCTGCATATCACACCACAGGCTGCCACAAGTACCCCACAGGCAAGGCTGCCCTATGCAGGCAGGAAAACAGGCCATCTTCATACAGGTTCCACTCACCTCCGCCACCGCCGCTGCCTCGGTTCCCCCGGTTGCGGTTCCCACGGCCCCCAGAGCCGTACTGCTGCTGCTGATAGACCTCTTTGGGCTGGGCCACCTTGATCTCACACTGAAAGCCGGGAAGGCAGTGGGTTAGGCCACTGAGTCAGGCTCTGGGCTGGGACTGTGCACAAATACCTTCACTGACACTCAGAGGGCAGAACTGGTCCATCTGCTCAGAAACAATATGCTGGAGGGGAAGCCAAAGCACGCAGGACCACAACTACAGCCTAGACAAACTCACTCACACCAGGGCCCTTCTGGCTCAGATCTTTCCCCACAGAAGTACTAGGGATGACGGACAGGGACACTGGACACAACCCCAGGGATGGCTCCATGTCTAACAACTGAGAGCAAAGCAACAGCATGCCAGCGCCAGCCCAAAGAACCACACTGGGACAACAGGGTCAAAGGTGGTTTCCCGCTAAGTTCCTCACAGAAAATAAGGAAAACTAAATTTCCTTTTTCTTTTTTAACAGAAGAAATGAAACATCCCACTAAAATAGCTATTGAGATGTGACCCTGACCTCCAAGTTACAGAGGAAGAAAGCCACTGAGACTCTGGGTGGAGCCTGCCTGAGTCCATACTGCTACCCTCTTCCCCAAACAGTTTTCATGTCTATCCCCTCAGGGCCCAGAGCCAATTTCCTTTTTGCTCAAACAGCTGGCCACTGTTGAGGGGTAGGGTCAGGACCTTCCAGTGCTCCTACTTAAATAAACCAGCAGTGTTTTTTAAACCAAGTTATCCTGACACATACCTTCCCCCACATTCAAGACCAGTAAAAGCCAATTTATATACAAGGTGTCCCCACACAAGCATACCCCTACAAAAATAACAAATTTGTCCCACCAAAGAATGCAATCTAACACTTTCTTTCCTATTGAATTAAGAAAGCACAATTAAATATACTTAGGTAGTTTTACTAATGCTGCCCTACAGGCTGTTCCTGCCCATTTTACATTATGGTACAGGAAAAAAAGGCCTCTCTTATCACCGTCTACTGTAGTAAGTCAATGTCATCTTACCTAAGTGCCCCTAGAGTCCAGTTTCATTTTATGTAAAATTTAAGGGCCCATCACAAATCCCAATCTTCCCAAATTCTCAGCCAGGACTTAGCCTTCCACAAACCCCACCCTACCTGCCCCACCTTATCTAGCTGCCACTCCTACTTACAGCCTGCCACACCCTGCCAGTGAGCCACACCCTAATTCCCAACCCCCAGACTTGGCCGCCTGGAGTACCCACTATCCTGACCAGAGTTCAGCAGGGAGAAAGTACCTTTCTCACTGCACAGGACTCTACTCACTTGAAGGCAAAACTGGCCCTGGACATGAGCAGGCCAGGACCATTTGAGCTCTTTGGGAAGGATCTTTGCCAGGGTGGTGGGGATTGAGTGAACCAGACTCCAAAGAAGCTAGAGGGGATTTGGATGTGGCAGGAAGAGAAAAGCTCTGCAGCAGTGTCCACAGTGGTAAAGACTTGACCAGAGAGAAGAAATCAGTGAATGGCAGAAGTTCTAGAATCTTCTGAGACCCTAAGTGCAGGCCATATATACACCTTTAGACTTTAGATCCAGAACACCCTGAACTGTAGCTTTACATCAGGAATCAAAGGGGTTACTCAGCACACACACTATCCCACAGAAACCACCTTCTTCTCTTGCCTCCTGTACAACTTGCACCTACTGCCAGTCCAACCAGCCTGGATCTCCTTTAAGAACATACCATCTGCCTGTGTGCAGGGAAACAGCAGGTGTGACTACCCTAGAGAGCTCCAGGAGGCAAACCCAACCCCTAACCCACACAAGCAAGGGCCAGCTCTCTAGCAGCAGTCCAGGAACCTGGAGCTGGAACACCTCACCTTACTTCCACTGATAGTGTGGAACTTTTTCTCCAGAACTTTCTTCACAGGTTCCTCTTCTTTAAAGGTGATGAAAACAAAGCCTCGTCTTTTATTCGACTTTGGATCCATTGGAAGCTCAATAGCCTCAATCTGCAAATATAGGCAAACCTTAGATCAGTGCCTCCCCTACCCTAGGACCCAGATGGAGATCTTGGAAGAAAAGGCACATGAAGGCCAGAGGGTGAAAAAGAAGCGGCCTTCAGGAGAGGGTTCCAGCCAGCCAAGGTTGCAGAGGACCAGGAAGGCAACCTCAGGGCAGATGGCAGGCCACTCCTGGGCCACACACTTACCTCTCCAAACTCGCCGAAGTATTCTCTGATTTTCTCCTCAGTGGCTTCAGGATTCAGACCCCCTACAAAAATTTTCTTTACTGGGTCCTTCTTCATAGCCATGGCCTTTTTGGGGTCAATGACACGGCCATCCAGCCTATGTTCCTTTTGGTCTAGGACCTGTTCCAACAAAAGGAGTCCCGTTGTAACTCAGCATGACCTTGGACAAGGCCCTTAGAGCCACAAGACTCCAACACAGGTACACAAATGTGTTTCATACCCTCCAAACTCTCCCCCTCAATATGATCAACCCAATCTTCTCCAGACCTCAAGTACAGCTGGCTTACTGAACACCTAAAAATCAGTCCTCACTGCCCCCAAATCTGCCTATGCTATGTTGTCCCTCTTCCTGCCCAGGTTGTCCCAGTTGAGAGCCTACCTCCTCCAGAAATAAAGCAGCAGTGATTAAGAGCACAGGCCAGAACTGGCTGCTAGGGTTGGAACCTGTAACCCACCCCTTACTAGCTGTGTGACCCCTCCTACTTAAAACTTCTCTGAGCCTTAGTTTTGTAAAATGCGGTTAAAATAATGCCTTATCTTGTAGCAAATCTGGACTTTTCTAGTCCTTATAATGAAGTGTTTGCTTTAGCACAATAACCAGAATAGGCACAAAAAACAAATGTCCACTATTATCTTCCTGGACCACCAGAGGCCCACTACTTCCTCCCCAACTTAAATTGTTCAACCCCTTCAAAAACAGGAATATAAATTCCTAATCTCTACTTTCCGAAGTCTTCCCAACTTTTTCCAGTATCTCTGCACTTAACCAGATGCAAACACACCAATGTTCTAAAATGCTGTCCTCTTGGAATACAGAGACTTGCTGATACAAATACCTAGCTTACCTTCCTTCCACACTGGCTGCATCTTTCGAGAGAATAAACCCAAACCCTCTTGATCGGCCAGTGTTGGGATCCATTTTTATTGTACAGTCAACGACCTCTCCAAATTTGGTAAAATAATCCTTTAGGTCCTTTTTGCTGGTATCCCAGCTCAGGCCACCAACGAACATTTTTCTGAAATCGTAGGTTGAGAGACACACGACAACAAGTCTTGTAAGAAAACTGTTAACCTGGCCCTGACACAGCTTTCACTGAAAGGATTATATATATACCACTACCCAGGACAGAACAAGGTCCACCCTCGGAGTCCATAAGGGTCCTACTTTTTGGAAACATGTTAAACTCCACTACCAAACTCCACCTTAGCCTTAACTAATACTTTGAGAAAGAGGGCACCCCCAGGCTGGGCGAAGCTAAGGGACAACCTGGCCAGAGGTACGGGCCCTGAGCACGCACAACTGAAGGGATTTGTCTAAGCACCAGAAAGGCAACCGCGCGGGCACAACTTCCCCACGTCCGAGGCCTCGCTCTCAAGGAACTCGGGGCTTCCGGGCCGAGCCCGCCCTCCGACCGTGGCTCCGCCCCGGGCAGGAGGCGGAGGCTGCAGGCCCCGCCGGGCGCCAACTCCTCCCACACCGCCCAGCCAGGGTCCGAGCGCACTCCGTTTCCGGGAGCCCGACACGGCCCGCGTCCCACGCGAGCAACCCTGGGGCGGCGCTAAAGTCAACCCAACCAACTGCAAACGGCGGCGCGGATCGGCGCGGAGGAGCTGCTCCGCGGGCCACGAGCAGGCCCCGGCCGCCGCCGCTGCCCCTCCCCCCGCCGCGTGGCGCCAACAAAAGGCGGCCCCGGAACAAAGGCGGCGCCCCGGTCGGCCCGCGGCCGAACCTACCCCGCATCCTCCTCGTTCTTGCTGGCGTTTATCTGGTCGCCCTCGGCGCCATTCTGGTTTCCGGCTGGAGGCGCCGCTCTCCCGCCTCCAGCGCCCGCTGCGGCCCCTGTGACGGTGGAGGCTGGCGACTCCCCTTCGGGGGCGGCCTCATGTCCGTTCTCGGTGGCGCCCGTCGTCTCCATGGGCTGCTCCTCACTCGCTTCCGACATGCTAGGCCAAGGCGAGGCGGCTCCTGCAAAGAGAAGCCACATGCGGCCCCAGCGCATCAGAACGGTGCGGCTCCCGCCGGGGCTCCCGCCCGCCGCCCGCGGGCCCGGCCGCTCACCTCGCCGCCGATGACGCCGCGAGGCCCACTCGTCCCCGCCCGCCGGGAAGGTGTCACGGGCTCGGCGGCGCTCACCCTCGCGCTGCCGGTCCTCGTCTCCGCCAGCCGACGGAGCCGCTGCGATCTCGCGCCCTCTTCCTCGGCCGCAGTCGCACAGAACCCACCAACACACTTACACTAGACCCGCGCAGTGCCGCCGCCTGACAATACCGACTCGTGGCGCTCTTTATAATGCCGGAGCCGGGGACCACCTCGCAACAAGGTGCATGCTCATTGGCTTCCCTTGCCCGTCACTCATACCCGTACCGGGGTCCCATTGGTCATGGCGGTGCGCGCACGCCAGACCTGGGCGGGTTTTGTCCTCGTTTTAGAACGCGCGCGAGCCGCAGTCTTGCAGAGGGGTCTTGTGCCGGTCAGACAGACATCCTCGGTCCAAGGCTGCTAGGTCCGAGCCCCGCGGCAGAGATCCGAGTCAGAACCTCTGCCCTCTGAGGCGCAGTCTGTCGCCCAGGAGCTTCCCATGGCAGCCTCAGCTACTCCATTTCCCGAAAGAGGTGACTGGGCTCGAGGAAGTCTCGCAAACCAAGATCGCCCGGCTGTGTATGGCAGAACCCCGGCTTCCGAGATTGGGCACCTAAGAGCCCCAAGGCCATCGGCACGACTAAGGACTGGGACGCAACCAGCCCTCCCCTTTGACCTTGGCGCCCTCAAAGGCCCGCACTCTCCAGTTTGAGCCGCCTGCCCCAGTGGCTACGAGAAAGGAGGGGGCGGAGTCCGCCAGGTGTCTGGTGCCGACGGTGCTCCTGCAGGATGTGGCGGGAGAAACGGAGAGGAGGGAGGACTGGGGTGTTTGCTCCAGTCCTGGGTCACCAGACAGCACCTTGACGATTTGAATCACATTTATACACTTGATTACTTAAGTGGTTTTATTTAAGTTAGCTCATTTATTTCTTAGAAAAACGTACCACTTACGAGAATGTATGGGGTTTGGTGGAGGAAAAGGGAAGGCTTTATTTTTACAGTATACAAACCCCTTAATATTATCTCCTTGACCACCAAGCTAGGCCTGCACAATCCTGTAATTCCTTTTAATCATAAGGGTGATAGGCCCCAGATGGACCAGGATTATAATCTCTGAAACCGGGGAATTAGCAAAATAGCAACAAAACACAACTAGACTTTTCTGCCGGATTCCTGTAGCCAGGTCCACAGAGGCAGATGGAGCATTCTATTTTCTCATCTGGTCTCCTAACAACCCTAAGGAAAGTCATCAATGTATAAAAGAGGAAACTGAAGCCCAGGCTTTAGTGGCCCAAAGCTTACTCCCTAATCCAGCCAACCAGTGGAGTTGCTGTGAAAATTAAAAATGTGACAACTTCAAAACTGGAAAAAATAACCAACTTCACAAAGTCTGAGGATTTACAATTTAAACAAATGGGCCACTTTCTTCTTATAGTATACAAACTGATTATCAATAAACTAGAGCTGAGGCACCTACTCTCAATGAGCCAATGCCCTCTGCTTCACCCCAAGGACCACCTGACCACTTCACTTTCAGGTTAGATTCCATAATTCGAATTCACGTATCACCAAAAAACCTTAGTCATGTCACTGAAATCTGCTTGGGAACTCCTTAATAAACTCTCCACCCTACCCTCTCCCACCCCCAGAAATAAGGGTCAGAGATATGGCTCATAGATGATGGGCATAGCTGCCCAAACATGAAGATGATACAGGCAATTAAGTTCAAAGTCACAGTCTAAGCACAGCCACAGGACATAGCTGTGAGGTCATAAATTCACTTAATCTCCTTCTCTTGTCTATATGGATTCCTTTAGTGCAACTTGGAAAACACTTTTAATATGCCAAGATCGAAGATAACATCTGGACAGTGCTTCAGTTTGCAAAATGCTTTCACTAACATCACATTGGAGCTTCAAAATAATTTTGTGTGCAGTTACCCATAATTTATACATAAAAATGCTGAAATCACACATCTAAATTGTGGCCACAAAGCAAGCACTTCCAATCCCACATTGCCCCCAGGGTTCCTGGCTACTGTAGGACAAGAGGTCTCTGAGCTCCTGAGTCCTTGGTCTAAATTAGATTTTGTGTCAGATTAAATTATTCTGAGGCTCAAAAGAAGCAATAGCTTAGGAAACACTTTCTATATTATAAAGAACTTCAAATAAGCAGGGGTCAGCCTCAGCACAGAATGCTTTTACACTGCACCTAAGATTGTTTCTGACAGAAGCAGGGCAGCAGCTGGTTTGGAAGTAGCAGGAAGTCCCTTTGGCACGAGGATCCAACCTCTTGTTATTGGGTCAGTGACAACACTCTGAGTAGAGGGCATCTTCCATGACAATGAGGTTCTCAAATCAGCAAGGATCTCAGTTGCCCCCTGAAAATCCCTTAAGAAGCTCACAGAGTACAGTCCCTGGCATTGGGGATTCAGACTGTCAGGCAATACAGGTGTAAGAATGCCAACACAATTGCCAACCTAGAATAGAGTGGACAGACACATACATTTTGAAAGTTTTTTATAATTACATGCATTTTTCTCACTTTCTCCTTTTTGATTTTAAAAATTCCTTTCACTGAGCCTGCAAGGTGGAAGTTCCAGGAGTTAACTGTAAATATGCCACCTCCCACACTCCACAGTTCCCCGCTTCAGGGATGACTCTGGCTCCAGCCAGAGGAAACTTTCTAACACACGAGTCAGATCTTGTTACAACTCTGCAGAAAAACCCTCGCTGGCTTCCCAGTACTCTGAGGATGATGTCCTATCCCTGAACAGAGTGAGAGAGAGAGTTGAGGCTCACAGAACCATGGCCCCTGTGGTCTGGTCTATATGCTTTGCTGTGTGGTCTGTGAGTGGCAGGCTCACTTCCAGGCCTGGACAGTTGAGGCTGGGGGCGTCCCCCAGACCTCTCATCCCCTGGAGACCATGTGTGCCACATGGTGGAGCTACATAATGGAGAAGAGCTGTTCAGTCCATGTCGGACTTGATGTGAGCAAGAAACAACCCTGTACTGTGTCAAGCTGTTGAGATTTGGAGGTTCATCTCTAATTGCAGCCTTGGGGTTGTAACAGCAGACTCGTGAGCTCTGGCAGGAGCCCACCCCAGCCACATCCCACGCTCACTCTCCACTTCGGCTGTGCCAAAGTTCTTTTCTCTCCTGGAACTCATCCAGGTCCTTCTGCCTCTGGGGTGCTTCTACACCTGCTGTTCTCTCTACCTGCAGTACTCCTCCCCAGATTTCAACTGCCTACTCCACATATCTTGTGGCTTGAATTGTGTTCCCCTAAAAGATATGTTCAAGTCATAACCCCTGGTATCTGTGCACATGACCTTATCTAGAAATAGTCTTTGTAGATGTAGTTAAGATGAGGTCAGATGACTGGATTTTGAGGTGGCCCCTTAACACAATATGACTAGTGCCTTATAAGAAGAGAAGACACACACAGACACAAGGCAAATGCAACGTGATGATAGCAGCAGAGATTGGGGTATGGGTCTACAAAGCAAGTGTCTTAGTTAGTTCAGGCTGCTGTAACAAAATGCCTCAGGCTGGATGAGTTAAGCGACAAAGGAACACCAAGGACTGCCCCCAACACCAGAAGCTAATAAAGAGGCATGGAACAGATTCTCCCCTAGAGCCTTCAGAGGGAGCACAGCCCTGCCAACACGTTGATTTTGGACTTTTAGCCACAGAAGTATGAGAAGTAAATTTGTTCTGTATGCCATCCAGCTTACAGAGCTTTGTTACAGCAGCCCTAGCTGCCTGATACAATATCCATCAGACTTCTGCTTCCTCCAGAAGTGCTGTCATGCCCCAGGGTCCCTCGCATGAACCACACAATAGTGACACTGACCATGAGCTCAATGAGATCCTATATCAGGTCTGTCTCGGCCACATTGACACCTCCAGAAGGCACCCAAATACCTGCAGAATGTGAAAGAGTTCTTGAGTTACAAACAACCAGTTTGGACTGATCTCTCAAATGTGCTTGTTTGCCCTACAGTGTTTTGAACATCTTACAAAATTATTTGCCAACATTTATGAAATAGGATATTTCTATGAAATGTCAGGTTTCCAGTTACTTTTGGAAAATTGTTAGGTAAAGCCATATGGGACCACAGTACCATGTGTCCACATTGGCTGGAGCTGAGTCTCACTGCTCCACAGCAGGTGGGGCAGGTGCTGTCTGGCTCACCCCAGCACCCATCAGGTGCTAACATCTTACTCCTGGATCCCCTAAACTCATTTTCCTGGACAGAAAGCATCTAAGATGTCAATCCCTAACTAGGCCTCCATGACGCTCAGCTTCTTCATCTTTAAAACAAGAGTGACCACACCAGCCACTCAGCAGGGATCAGAAAATGTCTGCCAAGTGGTTATCAGGTAGGAGGTATAAATGAGAGCTGCTAAGGCTACTAACACCAGTAACGATAGAAGCTTCAAAGGGAAGACTCTTTCACCTGCTGAGCTCCCTACTACGTCTCAAATCAAATCCTTCAAACAGACTTGGAAGATCTAGAGAAGCTCTGCACACAGGCAGCTCTCCCAAGGTCACATGCCTGCAACAGCCATCCCATGCCCAGCTTGAGTCTCAGAGGCAGCCTCTGCCCACCAGAGGCCAGTCAGAAATGCCTAGGACACCCTTCTGGAATGAGACCTCCATGGAATATACGGTTCACATACAGACCTAATCCAGTCTTCTTGGAAGCTCATGAGGCTGTATACAGGGGACACAGCATGCAGAGGGGCCCTGCCTGGCTTCATGTCACAATCCCTTGCAGAACTATTAAAACCAAATTCCCAGGTCCTTGGGACTGGACACGCACTTTAGATAGCATTCCAGGCACTGGGACAGAGACACTTTTAGGTCCCACTGCTGCAGAGCAGGTGGGGGAAAGCATATGAAACAGGGAGATGTCCAGCTCCCCTGTGAGAGGTAGCAGCACCTCCTGAGACCAGCCTTGCAGTCTCTTTTATTTATGATTTAGCACAGCTACCAAGTCAGTGTAGGCCTGGGGGACTCTCTCTTTGAGCCTGTTTCTGAATTTGCAAGATTTCACCATTCACTCATTTATTCACACCTTGGCTTCAATTGCCACCAACCTGCCCATGACCCTCAGGACAGACCTGTTTCTGGAACTCTAAATCCTCATCCATACGTATCCCTCAACATCTCTACGAAACTGTCACCATGGCACCGCAATCTCAGCATGTCCAAAAATGAACATACAATGCTCCC